TAAACGCGGCCGTACAACAAAAGATGAACCTCGTTCAGGACGCCCCGTAGAAGTCAGTACGCCCGAAATGGTCAACAAAATCCACGATATGGTGTTGAGTGATAGAAGATTAAAATTGCGAGAATTAGTTGAGGCCACAGGGGTATCAAAAGGGTGGATGGTTAATTAATTCGAATTTTAAATCGTTAATTTTTGCCATCGAAACTGCACCCGTGTGAACTCGATCATTCTCTTAAAGAAAGAGGAATTTTTTTTGTTTAAGTGAGGACGTTTTTCTCTGATTTTTTCTTTCAGCTGACCTAATAATGACGCATAATATTGTTCAGTCATCGTCTGGCCCTTTTCCCAGTAGTCGATGTAGATGATTCCATACGCATCCCAGAAAACCGTGGCCATAATCTTACCAGCTGACTTTACTGTCTTTGCCTTCTTTGGGGCTGATTCTCCTACAGTAATCCATTGTTTGTACTGTTCTTTAGTTTCAGGAGTGTAGTGGTGTAGAGGTTCATCTTTTGTTGTTGTACGGCCGCGTTTAAATTCATTTCCCCAGTTATAAACAGTCTTAAACACAGGGGCAGACTTGCCATGAACTGCATTCAACTCAACTGTGATTTCTTATGGTGTAAGGCCTTTTAAATGAAAATGTTTTATCACCGCTCGAAACTCTGTTTTTTCCATTTTTCAAATAAACCAATAACTTTTTCTTCAACCAACGCTCACAAAAAAATGACTTAATGAATAGAGCTGAAACTTTGTACGATATCTAGTTAATAGTATTGCTTGCCAAAAACATCATAATTTAAGCGTGACGAGTGCCATTTCTTGGATTTTGTAGACTTAACGACCCCCCCTCGTATCAGCCAATCGTTTTATTTTCTCAATTGATTCTTCGCTGGCCAAATAGTCATCTATGTGGCCAAATCTGGTGAATACGATGGATGGTCTACTAATTCGAACTTTAATTCCTAAATTTTAGCCATTGAAACTAAGCAAGTATGCACTCGTGCATTGTCTCGATGAAATAGAATTTATTTTTGTTCAAATGAGGATATTTTTCCTTTATTTTCTCGCTTAACCGGTCCAACAACAACGCATAATACTCTCCGGTGATTGTATGTCCTTTTTCTAAATAGTCGACGAAGATAATACCACGTGCATCTCAAAAAATAGTGGCCATAACCTTGCCGGCCGATTTCACTAACTTCGCCTTCTTTGGAGCTGGTTGACCTTTCGCAATCCACTATTTTGACTGTTCTTCCGTTTCAGGAGTGTAGTGGTGTACCCACGTTTTGTCTACAGTTATGATTCGACGCAGAAAGTTGTCCGAATTACGTTGGATGCGCGCTAAGAGGGCTTCAGCGGCCAGCAGTCGACTGCATCTGTTGTCGACTGAGAGCAAACGCGGTACCCATTTTGCCGAAATTTTTCTTATGTCCAATTTCTCATGCAAAATCGAAATGACTGTACCTTTTAAAACCCTTGTGGCCTCAACTATTTCAAGCAATTTTATGTTTCCGTCACTCAACGCCATGTCGTAGATTTTATTGATCATTTTCGGAGTGCTCACGTCTACAGGACGGCCTAAACGATGTTCATCTGCAGTCAATGTACGGCCACGCTTAAATTCATTTACACAATTGTAAAAAGTTGCAAACACAGGGGCAGATACACCATGAACTAACTAACTAACTCAGCTTAGAGTGTTCTTTCGGTGTAAGGTCTTTTAAAACAAAAATGTTTTTTCGATTGTTAATAACAAAAGTTGTTCACTTTGATCGTCTATAAAAACGGAACTACTCGATGGATCTGGCTGAAATTCCGGTAGCACTCTATTTAATAGTGACGCTTGCTGGCACAACATAAGTTGGTATACTTTGAACGCCATCTCTTGGATTTTCTAAGGACTTATTGATTCACCCTTGTAATATAAATGCTTTTAAATAACTTTCATACATCATTGACGTTAAGGTCAAAATGTTCAATTATTGGTCCCTAAGCCTTCTAAACTATTCAGAATTTCGAAAAAAATCTGAGAAAATTCCACAGTATTCTACATAGAAAAAGGAATATTTTCTTTCATGAGCACTTTTTTTCTATAATTTTAGCTTAGAGTGTTATGAACATTTGAAAGAAAAATGAAAATTTTCGAGAAAAATGCTCAAACGCGGGTCATACTTCATGTAAATAATTTTTGAATTATTGATTTAGATAGGATTTGGAAAAAGGAAGAAAATTTCGTGCTCAACATTTTCCTGCGATTTTTTCTCTAGAATTAACAAAAGATAAAATATGTACTTAAAATTTCGGAATTTTCATCGATGAATAATCGTTTGAAAAAATTAGAAAAACCATGTAATTGTACACGTAATATATATACAATTTGTAAGCTCTTGGAAAGAGTTTTCAAATGCGCTACCGCTTGTCTTTGTACGTTAGTTTTGAAGGAACATATGAAACTTCAAAATTTGAACAATTTTACTCGGAGGAAGGTAAAAGTACGTGAGTGGCAGTGCACTTTGCCTCCTTTCTGGTCAAAGTAGTTAAAGGAGTGGCCAAGGAAGCGAAGTCTTTGAGATATTTCCGATACAATAAGGCCATGCATAAGAAATGGCGTAATTGTCGCAAATTTCGAGAAGTCAGATCGCCAAAATTGGTCACACTCTTTCTGGATCCGAGCAGCATCCGTCACAATTTACCAACACGCCGAGATACCGAATCGCAGACAGGCAAATCTTAGGTTTTTTCCTATTTATGGTGAAATTAGCTTCGTGGACTCTGTTCAGAATAAACGCAAGTCATTTGATCGACGAATGTATGAGTTGCAATAATCAGGTCGTCCAACTAGGCAAACGCGTAAGGTTCTATTTCTGACGTAATGATTTTATCCGCCAACATCGGTAAAGTAGCTGGGCCGCCCGCCAGGCCATATAGTATACGCACAAATTCGTATAATTCTATACCCGGCAAAGTAAAAGCGGTGATCGGTATTGATTTCTCGGTTAGAGGTATCTGCCAAAATACTCCAGAACAATCTAGTGCACTTATATAGCTAGCGTGCTAGATTTTGCGCAATATAACGTCCATATAGGGAAATGGATATGCAGAAACCTTTGAAACTGCGTTAACTTTACGGTAATCAACGCAAAACTGATAGGTACTATCCGGTTTCAGTATCATGATTACCGGATTTAACCACTCACTTGTGGACTTAGGGATAACTCCCATTTTTAACATTTATGTACTTGCTCGTGCATTTCATCCTCTATTTTCTTCGGTACTGGATAGCATCATTGCTTGATGAATCGTGAGCTGGTGAGGTTTATATCATGACGAATCCACACGGTGCATCCTAGTTACTCGCAGGAAGGATTAAAGAGTAACTCCATCATCACTTTTTCGATTTCCTCTCATTGCTCCTCTATAAGATCCTTAATTCCCATAGAGGCTAAGGACATTGCCCGTTCGGCTTTCTCAGACAAGAGAACTGCTGGCACACCTTTTTCGCAGTCATTAAAAATCAGCTTATTAGTCTTGGAACAGAAATAAGCCGAAAAGGCGTTAGCATGAAGTCGGCACCACAACATAACATCAACAAATATTGTGTTTTTAAAAATATTAATAATATTTGTTCAATAAATACAAAGTCAGAAAAAGCCATAAAAAGGGTTAGTCGTATAAAGGAGAAAAGATAGAGGCCTACCGAACTAACGAACGAGCGGATAGCTGAGCCGTGCTAGGGAACCGACGACCACTCGTAAGACCTCGTTAGTGCATATTACGTGTATAGCTCTTAAAATACAAGTGTGCTCTAGACCGCACAATCGAGTTTACTGCAGTGTAGTATAGCCGATATGTATGGGAAACGTCAACGTCTTCTAGTAGCTGGGGCATACTCACAATCAGAGTTTGCCTGTTCCGGGTTTTCCAGTGGCTTAACAAGTGTCCCATAAGAACTGGCCTTCGATAAGCGTTTATGTTCATTGTTAATACTTAAATATCGACTATTCCCTTGTGAAAAAATTCTGCCCGAAATTCATGCTGGATTTTCAGCAGGATATCTAGTTGGATCAGCCTAGATTTCACCTGGATTTCAGGTGGATTTTTAGTTGGAATTTCTAGGTGGATTACAGGGGGATTTCCAGATGGATTCAAGGTAGATTTTCAGGTGGATTTCTAGGTATATTCCAGGTGGATTTTCAGTCAGAATTTACAGATGGATTCCAGGCGTTTTTCCAGGTTGGATTTCTAGATAGATTCCAGGTGGATTTCCGAGGGATTTGTATCCTGGATTTCTAGGTGGATCCCAGGGGGATTTTTAGTCTGGATTTCTAGGTGGACTCCAAGGAGATTTCCAGCTGGATTTTTACGACGATAGAAATAAGAAACTAGATATGGCTGTTATTGTGATAAAGAGAAAAAGACATTTATTTTATTAGACGTACATTCACAAAGAATGAAAAAGTATAAAATATAAAATATGAAAAGTATATTTTGAAACGATATTAGTAGGAGTTAATGTCGCATTTTTTTCATTTTCTTTAATACTACGTTAATATTTTCTGTAATGTAGCTATTTTTTTTCGACAAAGCTTTGTTTAACAACTGCCTATTATCCATCTTCAAAACCTTCTGACATAAATAAAATAAACATTCTGCAAAAAAATGAACCTTAAATGTAAAAACTTACTATATATTTGAATAATTATCAAATTTAACCCTTAAATTGTACACCTCATTTTGGCCACGTAACTGCTCGGTGGGGTAAATCTACCCCAGCCCGAAAAACATCGAATAAATCAGAGAATTTCGGATATTTTGCTATGATAATTTTTTCTAGTATATTTCAAACCTTTTACTACAAAAAAAAATATTCAAGTTAACAATTTTTAATGTTACACACACTGAAAAAAATTGTTGAAAAAAAAAAAAATAAATAAATTTTATTTATTGTTAAAAATTGTCTGGGGTAAATCTACCCCATATAGCAGTTAAGGGTTAAACGTTATCTTTTGTATTAGTTATTGTTAGCTGTTCCATATGGGTCTACGGAATTCGTCGATTTTTGCCATTCGGCGTGTAAGAAGGCGGTACCAGTTTAATACATCTTCTACTGAGTGCCTCTTCATAGAAACCATTTTCGTTTCTATGCATAGATCTCAAAATTTGTTTGATAAATTTACTAGCGTCTTTATATAATCCTTCCATTCTTCGTATAGAGAATTTAAAAATCATTATTTAACCATATGTATGTTATCTAAAATTATTTATATGTATTTTGAAAATATTTATTTATAAAAGTAAAATAAACGATAGAATCATACAAAATTAAATTTTACTTACTGTTATACCTTCTTTAGATACACTTTCTTTTTTACGAAAATTTGAAAAAAAATTCATTTCATTGGATGCTTCTGAATCAACAAGAGTATTATCAACACCTATTCCAGATTGATCATCTGCTCTGAACCAACGTCTATCTTATTCTTTTCTTTTTTGAAAAGATTACGTGATAGTATTACAATTTCTCGATTAGATAATTTCGTCTTAGGAATAGTACGATCCTCTATTCCAGAGTCGCAAGTCAGATCGTCATCAGAAGCTTTACTAAACCTTCTTTTATTTGATTTTTTTTATTAACGATAGTGACAACTCTTTTTCAGAGTCCATAAAAAGCTTTCCTGAAAGATTTTATTACAAAATGTCAGTATCGGTACCAGGTTGTGACAAAATTTAAAATAATATATTTTTTTATTAACTTTTTACCCCAGAGTTTGATGTATTGTTTGCCTTCACGTCGTCACATTCTATAGCTCAAAGATCCTGAGATTCGTCAAATAATTCAAAAGATTCACCATGGACCGATGACAGGTTTGGCACATCTACGTTGACTACTTTTTCTGGAGTTGATGCAGCGCAGATGGCATTCATGTCGATCTTCAAAAAAATCATATAAATATAATAACTTTTACAAAAAATGCACATGAGAATAATAATTATTCTATAAATAATCAAAAAATAATAACAAAGGTGTCCTCAACTACTATATAAATTTTAAATCAAAGATTGCAGTCGAGAGCTGCAACCGAGTAGGTCAAAGTGGCTACGACTGGTGGTTTAAATATTAAATAATATATTTTATTTATGACTAGTCTAAATATTAATGTATACACACACACGTACACACGCACACACACACACACACACACGTGCTTATATACTTATCATTGTACAATCCAAAATAACCCTTCCCAATAACCCCAGAGTGTTTTCCTAACATTTTCTTTTTTGGATACGCTTGGAGGATTTTTTGAAAAACATTCTAGGGTTATAGGGAAGGTGTTATTTTTGATTTCACAAAGATGAATGTGTGGGTATTAGTGTATGGAAGAAAGAAATTGTTAGGAAAACGCTCTGTTCCTTCAGCTGAATCCGTGAGAGCGGGGGTACCTGGACTAATTTGGGGAGCATGCGCGCCGCTGCGGTCGTTAGTCATTCATATACCAAAATAGTTTTTTATTGTTTATTACGTAAATAATTTATTTATCACCGATTTTACCCTGGGTGCCGTTAGTTCGTCTCATGAAGTAACGATTGGTGCATAAATTATTTGTCTTTTAAATGATTTTTTTTAGATATTAGCGTACACCAAATTTGGGTGCTGGAGCTCAGCACCCAAGACTTATTTTATTTTTTTGAGGGTATTTTCGAGGACGAACTAACAAATAGTAAATAAAAAATTTGTTGCTTTTTCCATGAACTATCTAACGGCATAATTAGTTCATCGATAATCTTAAAAAACTAAAATATGGGTGCTAACTTCTAAAACCTCCCTACGTCTACTAGCTATTTCACGTCTACTACCATGGTGACTACATACAGGAGTCGAAGCGCAATGTATAAGAATTCTCCAGCCTAAGTTCCCCAAAGTGCCTTAGAGGGCTACCGCCATCTAGTGGTGACTCGAGTTATCGATAACGCCGACCAGTTACCATGCGTTAGCGCGCGTCGATAACTCGACGCGCCGGCTGTTACCACTAGATGGCGGTAGCTTTTTAAGGCACCTTGGGGGACTTTGAGCTCCTAAACTCTAACACAGGCAGGGATAGGCTGCTTCTTCTCCTGTATGTAGTCTCCATGTCTACTACCTTTTTTACATCAACAAACAAAGTATGAAGCACTTGAATTTAACTTTGATAGTTTGATCTTAAATATCAAGCCCTTTTTTAATATTCTAATGATATTTTATATAGTCTATTAATAGATAGTGCTCACAAAATTCCAGTAATCAAAGATCAATTATAATAATTGTTATAAAAAATTATCAAAGTCAATACAAGAAAGTCAAGTGAAGAACCAATCACAGAAGAACAGGAAAAATTATGTTACAAATTACAAAAAACTGTGCTGTGTAAGTTGAAATTGATCAGACGGGGAAATGCAGAAAATGGATAGTGTAAGTGATAGTGATAATCGATAGTTTGATACTGAATAATAGTTGTAAATAAATATATTAATCGAAAGGAGCAATGTAGAGAATGAATAGTGTGAGCGATAGTGAAAACACAGTCCTACAAAAATACCTTAATTTTTTGCACAAGCAAACCATATATGTTTTCCCAACGAATTTTTGGCGCTGAAACCAAATCCGGCGTCAGAATTGCTCCAGCACATCAGGATTTTGAGATATCTTAATCTAAAAGTGTGAAAATAGCGATTTTTACCTATATTTGAGGTTTTGTAGCACCACGACATTATCTACCCGTAGAAAACTACAAACGACATATTAAAGAAGCAGTCTAGTCCTTTTAAATGCCGTTGAGTTTTCTCAGTTTGCTTATTTTTTCTTTGAGATATTAAATTTCAAAGTTTTTCATTTCATGAATATTGTACCTTTCAGAACATATAGCTTTGAACGTTTCGACGTCGAACTTCAACCTAAATTATATCATCCCCACGAACCCTTACAGCCCTTATAACCCATTAACGACCAAAATGCTCAATTTTTTGTCGATTTTCAACGCATTTTTTTCGATAGTCATAGGCCTAAGAAATTTTTGCAAGCACGTATTTGGATGGGAAATTTAACGCTCTTTCAGAATCTTTGTTCAAAATTGGGATTGATTGCGTTATAAAAGAGTTATAGCCAATTAAACAATAAAAACCTGAAAAATTTTGCGAAAAATCAAGCTTGCGATTTTTTTTACAATGTTACCGCTAAAAAATCATCAAACAAATATGATCAGAGGTGATCATGACTATCAAAGTATCTCCAGAAATTTTGGTGGAATTTTTGAACCACTTCTTCCAACAAAATGGTGGCAAAATAAAAATAAATCCATAAAAAACATTTCTCATTTTATATCTCGGAAACCATTAAGTTTAGATAAAAAGTTCATTGAACAAAAAGTTCATTGAACAAAAAGTCTTAGAATTAAATAAGAAATATGCCTGAATTTTTTCAGAATTTTTGGAGATGATTTTCAAAAAATGGGTTTTCCGTATTCTCCGAAAATTCAAAAATCGCCTCGGAAAATTCTGAAAGAATTCAGGCGTATTTCTTGTTTAATTCTAAGACTTTTTTGTTCAATGAACTTTTCATCTAAACTTAATGGTTTCCGAGATAAAAAATGAGAAATGTTTTTTATGGATTTATTTTTATTTTGCCACCATTTTGTTGGAAGAAGTGGTTCAAAAATTCCACCATAATTTCTGGAGATACTTTGATAGTCGTGATCACCTTTGATCATATTTGTTTGATGATTTTTTAGCGGTAACATTGTAAAAAAAATCGCAAGCTTGATTTTTCGCAAAATTTTTCAGGTTTTTATTGTTTAATTGGCTATAACTCTTTTATAACGCAATCAATCGCAATTTTGAACAAAGATTCTGAAAGAGCGTTAAATTTCCCATCCAAATACGTGTTTGTAAAAATTTCTTAGGCCTATGACTACCGAAAAAAACGCGTTGAAAATCGACAAACAATTGAGCATTTTGGTCGTTAATGGGATAAACCACCCCACCTGAATCAAAGACAATGTCAATGAGATATTCATTTTTTTACAGAAAAGCAGTTGATTAAACTCGCTCTACCAAGGGTTAGGTGGGTTAGTTCGCTTGGGGGTTGGTAGAGAGGGTTTTTGAGGGTTGTAGGGTTTTCTGAGGATAGAGTACATCAAGGAGACAACAGGTAAGCCTATCTGGTTGAGATTTTACGTTCCTCATAGAAAAGCAATTGATTAAACTCGTTCTAACCAGCGTTAGGTAGGTTAGCCTGCTTGGGGGTTGGTAGGGTGGTTTATGAGGGTTGTAAGGGTATCTGGAGATAGAGTACGTCAAGGAGAAAACAGATAAGCCTATCTGTGGTTGAGATCTTAAGTTCCTCATAGAAAAGCAGTCGATTAAACTCGCTCTACCCAGATTTATCGTAGGTAGGTTAGCCTGTTTGAGGGTTGGCAGGGGTGGTTTTTAACGGTTGTAAGGATTTGTGGGAATGATATAATTTAGATAAAAGGTAGGTTAGTCTGTCTATGGTATATATCTTAATTTTCTTGCAGAACAGTAGTTGATTGAAGTCGTTTGACATAAAATTCGACGTCGAAACTTTCAAAGCTGTACGAGTATGTTCTGAGAGGTACAATATTTATGAAATCGAAAAACTTTAAAATACAATATCTCAAAGAAAAAATAAACTATTTGAGCAAACTCAACGGCATTCGAAAGGACTAGGCTGCTACTTTAAGATGTCGTTTATAGTTTTTTGTGTATAGAGAATGTCGTAGTGCTACATAACCTCAAATATAGGCAAAAATCGCTATTTTCGCACTTTTAGGTTAGGATATCTCAAAATCCTGACGTGTTGGAGAAATTCTGAGGCCGGATTCGATAGTGTAATCGATAGTTTGATACTAAATAATAGTTGTAAATAAATATATTGTTCGAAAGGAGAAATGCAGAAAATGGATAGTGTGAGTGATAGTGGTAGTGATATATAGTTTGATAGAAGATAGTAGTTATAAAAATATGTTTGATAAGGTGTTGTTATTGCCAATTATGAACAAAATATTTTAATACTATAGAATATTAATGGTTTGGAGTATACGAGTATAATTATTTGGATACTGAATTACTTAAATATGATTATTGACTTGAATCTTAATATTTTTGAAAGCATAATTCAAAAAATAATTATTAAGTCATTATTTGAATTATTGTAATAAAATGTATAATTTAATAAAGACTTAATCTGATGATAAATAACTGAAAGTGTGATTATTTATACTACAAGTAACATTTTGGTTTAAATATTATTGAAAATATTACAATAACTATAACAAAGTCTGAAGAAATTGGAATTAATGAATAAGTCTTGCCGAAAAAGTTGTCATAACAAAAATATATTTTTGTGGAAATGTTTAAGACTCTTTCATTTCAAAATTGTAATTGTAAAAAGAAATAATTTTGTTTCTATAGAAAATTTTAGTATTGAAATTTAAAGTTCGCTTTGCAACTGTATTAGTTATTTGAAAAAAAAACTTGATATATTAATAATTGTGCTGAATATAGCTAGCCAGATATATACGAGGTGTGATCAAAAAGTAAGGTGAATTTTTATTTTTCTCAAAAAATATTTATTTATTCATCAATTTTTATTTTATCTCCTTCAAAGTAATCCCCCTCGGATATAATGCACTTGTGCCAACGCTTTTTCCAATCCTCAAAGCATTTCAAAAAATCATTTTTTGTGATCTTGTTTAGTTCATCCTTCGATGCCGTCTTTATCTCCTCAATCGTGGCAAAACGCCGTCCATTCATGGGCCTCTTCAGTTTTGGGAACAAGAAGAAGTCACAGGGGGCCAGATCTGGGGAATACGGTGCCTGTGGCATCGTTACTGTGTTGGTTTTAGCCAAAAATTCGCACACAAGCAACGATGTGTGAGCAGGGGCGTTATCATGGTGCAAAAGCCAATTGTTATTTTTCCACAAATTCGGACGTTTCTGGCGGATTGCTTCGCGCAAATTGCGCATAACTTGCAGGTAATATTCCTTATTTACTGTTCTACCCTGTGGCAAGAACTCATGATGCACCACGCCCCTGCAGTCAAAGAAAACTGTAAGCAAAACCTTTACATTTGATCGAACTTGGCGTGCTTTTTTTGGTCTTGGTGATCCAGAATGCCTCCACTGGGACGATTGAGTCTTAGTCTCGACGTCATAACCGTATACCCATGTTTCGTCACCTGTTATAACCCTGTTGAGTAAATCTGGATCATCGTTGACGTCATTCAGTAGCTCTTGGGCGATGCTCATGCGACGTTTCTTTTGGTCGAAATTGAGCAATTTCGGAACAAACTTCGCTGACAGCTTCGATGACAACTTCGATGACAACTTCGTCTCATGTCTAAAACACTCGTCAAAATTGATTGGCATGAACCAAATGAGATGCCAATATCATCAGCAATTTCTCTAATGGTAATTCGACGATTTCCCAACACTATTTTCTTCACTTCTTCAACATTCTCATCAGTTGTTGATGTGCTGGGGCGTCCAGAATGAGGTTCGTCGTCGGTGTCTTCTCGGCCTTCTTGGAAGAGTTTATACCATTTGTAAACATTTTTTTGGCTTAAAGTAGACTCACTGTATGCCACTTTCAGCATTTCAAGTGTTTTGGAACATTTGATTCCATTTTTCACACAAAATTTAATGCAAACTCTTTGATCCATGTTTTTAGACAGCAGCAAATCGTGCAGCACGCAAAACACTTCTAACCTTGATGCCTCTCACAAACAAACCAAACATACTACAAAGCTGAAATTTGGAACGTATGTTCTAGACGAGTGTTCCGACATAACCAAATAAAAAAGTCGAAGATCGAACGGACGTAGCCCGCTAAATTTCAAAATTCACCTTACTTTTTGATCACACCTCGTATATATATAGACTTCATTATTAAAATTAAAAAAATACAGTTTAATTGAATTATATCAACGTGACATCTTATTACCTGTACTGTTGGATCCAGTTTTTGTTCATTTACTTCATTTTCAATTATTTCTTTGCCATTCTCTTCTTGCAATCTCTGTTTATAGCAATAATTTTTTTATTTGTAAGCGCTCATTTAATATTTTGTAAGTCTCCAAGCATGCATTCAATATATCTATGTTATTCTTTAATTTATTCTGTGCATTTTTCAATATTAAACATTCCTTTTCTAAGTTTATGATTTTTAGTTGTAGTAATTGACATTCTTGCAAGTCATTTTTTGTCTGTGTCTTACTGATCATCAATGAATTATTAGCATTGCCTACATGGCAATTCTCTGTTACTTCTTGACCCATATCTAAAGTATTTGCTGGGCACAAGAACTTTTCAATTTCTTCGTCGAGTATTCTTTTTTGAGCATCATTTTCATGCTTCTATAAAATAAAATTGTAAATAAAAATGAATTATATACTATAGATTATTTCTAGCAATTTGAAAGTAAATAAATGATGAAAAATATTTTAACATACCAAATTAATTAACTTCTTCTCTGCATCTTTACTAACATGTTTAATCATTTTTGTATTTTTTTGATGATTTTTCCATATTTCCATCATTATCTTGAGAATCGTAGTAGCGTGCTAAAATTGAATTATGGAAAACATTGAAGACGCCCCTTTTTTCACTGAATTTATTAAACTCATCAATAGTTTTAATCACTGAAAATGAAAGTTATTTCAATTGCAATTTAAAATTTATAAATATAGTATTAATAAAATATGATATAACATTCATAAATATTGCACACAAAAGTCGAAATAGTTCTTTTTTTTTAAGAAAGAATTTATTTTTTGATTAATCCTGCTAATTTAATTATTTCAAAAAGTAATACTCACTTTCTACAGCTGCAATTTGAATTGCTAATTCAACAGGCATTTCTTTGCTATCGTCTTTCCACAAAACTGTGTAAACCGAATCTTTATCGAAATTGTCAATGGCCTCTTTTGGATTTGAGGCAAATTCAATAATATCCTCAACGGGTATTGTGCTTCTAATATTATTATAACGTCGGGCCGTTTATTATCAACAAAATTTTTTTTTTGAGTACTTTTGTGTGTATGCGCATTTAATACGTGACTTACATTTTAACTCTGTGAGTGAGAAAAAGGAGAGCATTCAGCTGAAGCGGAAAAAGAACACATGTAAACACCCATCCCTTTGTCGCGCACTTTCCGAATTGTACTCCGAAAGATCGTAAAGTTTTTTTTGAGTAGGTTTAAATATAGAGTAAAGGAGCCGGGGAATTCTGCCTACATCCTGTTACACGATTTCACACAAAAGTTTTCCACTTTTAGAAGCTAAAACTTTTGCTATATAGAAAAAATTTAATAATTATTTTTGTACAAATGAATTGAGAAAATAACAGCATGATAGGAAAATTTCGCAGCTTCTTGAAACCTCCTGCACACTTTTTGATTAGAAACGTAGTTACCGCACAATCATCGAAAATATCCCAAAGTTTTGAAATTATAAGTTAGGAAATCGGATAAATAATCGAAAACAGTTACCTGAATGAACTTTAGTAAATCAATTATATAGTGTACAATTAAACAATGCCCCTTTTTCATTCCATATTATTTAAACAACGAATTTAGTTAATTATTTAAGTTACTAATTGTAAACATGTAGGATTAGAGATTTTCGCGTAAAATATGTTAGATATTAAGAAACTTGCGTTATTATTAAGAATTAATTGTAACAATTTACATAACAAATAAATTAATAATTATAAGAAAATCTGTAATGAAAATGGTACTTGGAGAGCCATCTAACGAGATAGGGTCCATACTCTTGAACGCACGCCCCCAATTCTCATCACGCCCCTGAACCAATTAGGGCCCGAAAACTGAAAGAGAAAAAGAGGGAAAATCCCAGTCAGCCAATTAAAATTCACTGGCATTTCCACTCTTCCCAAATTTTGAGGGACTGAAAGAGGGATTTTCCTCCCAACCACCCCCAGGCTTTTAAAGGGCGTGCGCAAGCGAAAACTCTCACTCTCTCGCTCCTCGCAAAGTTCATTAGTTTTTATCTTGTTTCACAAAGTTCGACCAAGTGCCAGGTCTAGATTCAACTCTCCAAGTACCAAACAATCACGAGGAATAAAAGAAAAAGTAAGTTCAAACTAAATTTATTATCATTATTTCTCCTTTTCCACTTTCTATTAGAATAGCTTGACCGGAACTCGAAAAAACAAGTCTTCGAAAAGTATTTCAGCAAGGATTGGGATACTTTTCTATAAGACAGTCGCGCCGTTAAAGAAAAATTAAATTCTTTTTATGTGATAATTCTAGCAAGGTCTGGGATTTTCACATCCAAGTCCCGATTCCATTGGACCCTGGTGTTTGATGGAAGACTTGCAGTCCAATTTTATTATTCTCTCTTTTAACGCGAAACGCGAAATAGAAAAGCTCTGATTCTCCAATTGCTCGTCCCGGTTTAGGCGTACGCACGCAAACCAAATAGAGCACCTGAGATAACGTCCACCTCAGGCGTACCTGAGATAATGACCCGGACGTCACATTATCTTCGATGTATTTAATTTTCGCATACATTCCCGGTTTCATATTGATAGATTAATTAATTTTAATATTTTTAAGAAAACTTTCACTGAATAATATTTACTGAAGACAATACCCGATCAGAACTCAAAACACAAAGAAAGTTACTTTTAGGCATAGTGCATTTCCTTGCATTTGGCAAGTTAATTTATCATAATATCATCTCTTTGTCTAGATGTCATATCATCTGTTTGTCTACATGTCATTATAGTTTCTAGTTTGACCGCTAGAAAGTGCTCCAACAAAACTGATTGCACGTGTTCTGTTAACATCATTTACAGTTTACATTGTTTTTTTTAATGATAATCTCAGACAGAGACTATACTTTATATAGTTTTGATTTTAATGTAACTGGTTAATTTACGACGTGTATGTACTATATATTATGAAAGAAACGTAATAATTTTTCTATTTCAAACGAATGTAAGAGGAATAACGGTTAAATATAAACGTACTCTACTGACTGGAATTATTATTCGAAAACAATCGTTTCAACTGTCAATATTTCATCGAGTTATACTTTACTGTAATTTCTTATATCAGTATGTGCAGATCAGTATAAGTGTTAGAATAGAGACTTTTAATTGCTAAGAGCGTTAATATAAAATCAGGCTATATCAACATATCAAAAAAGAGCAAGTATTATATTCAACATCTTTCATAATTATAATATAATTTAAATATTTACGTTCTTAATAAATGAATTATTTATATTACAGAATATAGACTCTTACAATTCTACTGCGAGATTTATTAGTACTCTCAATTCTACCTCAACAGAAGTTAACGACCTTCTAAATCGTTCAGTTAGGACTGATAGTATTACGAGAAGGCTGAGAAATGATTCTAGTGAATCTGAAGTTACTCTATCAACACTTGAATTTTCAAACGGTAAGAGAAAATAAATATACATTAATTTATTAATTGATAAATAAGCAGTGTTATATTTTTTTATTTTTACTTATCTTCAGTTACAAACGGTGAATCATTCGAAATCATTATCTATTCCATATTATGGTGCAGCTAAGTCTACTATATTAAATAATAGTGTTACTTCTTCAAATCACAATATTCAGCAAAGTACAAGAGGTAAGTAAAAATATTCAGATCAAATAATTAAAATACTTGTGTGTAAAATATTATGTGAGGTAGATAAACAAATAAAAAGTTAAACATTATAATTTATATGTGTATAATTTTTAGTTATTAGTAGTCAATGGGAAACAGATTCAGATGTCTATAATCAATCTATCAGGAGTGAACTACAGGATATAGTAAGTTTATAGATCATTTTTTGTTCTAAATTGAAAATTCAATTGATAAACGTGTACTTGTGTGTACATTATGAATTTGTAAGATATTGAAAAAATCCAGCTAAAAATCCAGCCTGGATTTACATTTGGATTTCCATTTTGAATTTTCACCTGGATTCTAGCTGGATTTTTAACATGGAATTCCAGGTGGATTATTTTGATAAATCCATATGGATTTCTTACGTTCTTTTTTACTGTAATTCATAAAAACCTACTCTTTTGTAAAATTATTATATATTACTGTTGCATCAAAAATATTAATACAAAAAAGAAAAGAAAAATTTATTGATCAAAAAATCTGAAAAACTTCAAGCGTATTCCTAGAATGATAGAGACTTTTTTATTTCATACAACATTTTCATCAACCTCACAGTTTTTGAGAAAAAAAAATAATTTGAACGTACTCACAGTTACATTATTCGTATGTCTTTTTATTAATAGTTGATAAATTGTATTTTTCAAAGTGATATACAGTCAAAAGAAAAAGCAAATCGTAAAAATATAGAAAAAATTAAAACAATCTAGCTAAAATCTTCGTAAATTTCGTACGTTTTTAAGACTAAAAATATAGATAAAACCGTCTCTTATGTTAAATAATTATTTTCAATACTTCTTGCTTTCCTACTTATTATTTTTTTATTAACATTTTTACAATTGGTAGAACAATTAGGTATTGAAGATAATCTTACATAAAAGACCAGTTTTACAAAAATTTTTAGTACAAAAGCGTATGAAATCTATCTGGATTTGTCGAAAAAGATGCACATGGAAATACACCTGGAATTCATCTCGAACCCATATATGGAACAAACAAGATGTCCACCTGGATTCCACATAGCAATCCATAAAAATCTACATGAATTGCACCTGAATCTAGCGGGATATACATGTGGAAATTCAGTCTCGATTTCCATATGCGATTTAAGCTGTACCTGTGTGATATGATTTTTTTAGCGCGTAACTTTGAAATAAAAAACAGATTTTTTCGTAAGCACAGATCCAATTTCTAATCTAACTTCTTCAAAGATCCTGTCATTAAGTTGTCTTAATCGTAGTAACTTATTTCTGAAATATTTATTGAGAATTTTCAGTACTGCTGGAGTTATATAGATTCATTCGCTAAATAAATATAGAAATTTCTTATAGCTACACGTCAACATTTTTATTGATGTTATATGGTGTTTATTTGGAGATTAATAATAAAAAATAATGCGAGTGTATTCTTTACTCACAGATGATATGGAATATGCTTAAAATTCTTCAAGTAGTGTGCCTTCAATTAACAAATTAAATTTCACATTAAGATGCAATAACGATTTCATGGAATTTTCAATCTTTG